AAGCTGGTGTATGTGGATCGTAAAGAAGATTAAAAAGAGCACAAACAACTCTTAGGTTCCTACGCTCACGAATAGGAAGCCATTTGAGTTGATGACGAAAATGTGAGATATGGTCGTATTTACGTAAGCCATATATGAAGCGAATGCAGTTATTGAGAAGACGATCCAACTTATTTAAAAGATTTTCATTAATATCTGGATAACATACGTCGGCATAATCGATAATAGGCAGAATTAAAGATTGAACAAGAGCAATCTTGGTGCGAATAGGCAGAAAAAACTTAAACCTGTATAGAGATCTCAAAGAATTGGTCACCCTATGCGAGACGAAATCGACATGGTCTATCCACGAAAGTTTGTCATCGATAATTAAACCCAAATCCATCACGTGAGTCGAAAAAGGAATAACAACTCCATCATAAGATAATGAATTAATCCTAGTAAGGTCAATTTGGGTCAGCAGACGAGAACTGCCAACAATGATAGCTTGGCACTTAGTAGGATTTACTGAAATACCAAAAGAAGCTGACCAGTCATTGATCACACTGAGGTCGCGATTTAGACTAGCGACAGCCTCATTCAAATGATGGCTGTCACTGCTGGCGTACAGTTGTAAGTCGTCCGCATACAGATGGTAAGAAGAAGTTAGAAGTTCTGTGAGAGTATTTATGAAAAAAGAAAAGAGTGAAGGAGAAAGAATACCGCCTTGTGGAACACCAGCAGTCTGCTCGCGCCAACCGGATAACTCCTGGTCGAAACGAACAGCCTGCCAGCGATCTCGAAGATAAGAAGTAAACCACTTCTGCACTGAAGATGAGAATCCTAGTCGAGAAAGGACAGCTATGAGAATATCATGATCGACAGCGTTAAAAGCGTTTGAAAAGTCAATTAAAAATAATAGTGTCAGACGAGCTTTTTCTTGGCCATCCCGGACATCTTCAAGAACTTTGGTGAGAGCAGTAGTGGTACTATGGCCGGACGGAAACCAATTGAAAAGGGCAAAGAAGTTTATGAGAATTAATAAATGAAGTAAGTTGTTTGTGGACTGCGGCTTCAATGATCTTTGATAAGAATGGTAGAATAGAAATAGGCCTATAGTGGCTAAGCAAAGTGGGACTTTTGTTTTTAGGTAGAGGGATAGTTAAGGCTTTACGCCAGAGATCAGGAAAAGATGCAGATGTAAGGGAGAAATTAAGTATATAAGTCAAGACAGGAAGTACAGAATCTAGCACTGAAGTGATCATAGTTCGACTAATGTTATCATAGCCCACAGCATTAGACTTAATGGATAGAATTGTCTTTCGGACTTCATCTTCAGTTAAGAAATTGAAACAAAATTCTGAATTTGTTGAGGGGACCTTGGAAGAAAGAGCAGAGATAGTAGAAAATTTGACATTGGTAAGAAGAGGTTTAATAGAAGAGAAATGTTTATTTAGCTCATCTAACGGAAAAGACGGCTTATGCCGAAGTTGTGATTTACCAATGCCAAGGGTACGGAGAAACTTCCAAGTATCCGCAGGAGAAGATTCCAGGATATTCTTATGAATGTAATGGCGTTTAGCTTTTCTCACCATCTGATTGCAACGATTTCTAGCAATTCTAAAAGCATTCCAATGCAAATCAGTACGGCATCTTTTATAAATGCGAAAAGCTTTGTCACGCTTTCGCATGGCCATACGCACTCCAGGTGTAATCCAGGGCGCCGGAAGACGTTTTAATTTGACCTTTTTTATAGGAGCGTGCCTATCAAATAACTTAAGAACCTCCGTGTTAAAGTAGGTGACCATGTCGTTGGCAGAGGGCATTTCTCGAATAGGAGACCAATCAATTAAACTCGCATCACGCTCAAGTTTTTCCGTATCCATCCTCGCAAAGTTCCGAATGGAGATCATTTTAGGCTTCGATTTGGGAGGCTTCACATCGTATGCAATATAAATAAGATCGTGTCTGGAGAAGCAAGGAGCAGAGATTTGACCGAATTTAACGACACGATCTGAGGAAGATACAATGATATGGTCAATCCACGTATCGGATGTATTGAGATTATGATGAGAAGGATTAAGCTGTAAAAAGGAGAAGTTTGCCGACGTAATTAAAGAACGAAGCTTTCGTGAAGAGGGTGAATTAATCAAAAGGTCTGTATTGAAGTCACCCATAATAATATGGTGATTATAATCGATGGCACAAGAATCAATCAAGACCTCAAGGTCAGAAAAGTAATCAATCGAAGGAGGGCAGTATACGACTCCGAGGATGACTTTGGTACCCCTAATGTCAATTTCTAGGAACAAATGTTCCATGCAGCCATGATGCGAAAAGGATGAATATAAAATTTTGGCTGGTATGCGGCTTGACAAGTAGATAGCCACACCACCACCGCCTTTACCGACGCGATCATTGCGGAATAATTCGAAACCTGGTGGACAGTACAAGGCGGAATTAAGGCATGGCTTTAACCAGGTTTCAGATACAAGCACAGCGTGCACTGTATCCGAAGAGAAGGTATCGAGAAAGTCTGTTATATGGCAGGGAATACTCTGTGCATTTATGTGACAAGCTTTAAAACATTTGGCGAAATCGATTAGTTCATGTGAGAGCTCCTGTTTCAAAGAGAAATCTAATGAAGAATTAAAGGAGTGAAACGACGAGCTACTATCATGTAATGAGTAAAAATCATCTGTATCTGACATAACTATTAAATATATATAAATATAAAAAAATACTATATTATAAATAACAATATTTAAAAAAAAAAGACAAATAACCAATAAAAGAAACTGCACACCTTACCAAGCAACTGTTAGAGATAACAAAAGGCTTAAGCAAATTTATCACTACAAAACATAACAATACATCGATCAGCAAAACGACGACAGGTTGGCACATATAAAATTATAAAAAGAAAATAAATATATTTAAAAGCAATGAAACGTAATAATTACACCAAAATACTAGCAAAACCATAGAATAACAACAAAAAAGGCTGTATAGGTGTAGCCATTGCCTTTATGTTGACATAAATAAAAGTATAAAAAAAAACGTCAAAAACATAAACATAATGGTGCCAGAATCGACACCAGTGTCAGACATTAATGGCTGTATGGCTGGACCTTTGCCTACCAAAAAAAATGTGAACGACAATAAAAAAAACAAAAGGTAATGTCAGACGAGATGTCGCACAAGTTTGTTTACGTATTTTTTACTAAAGATTAAGAGTAGGTACCGACGCGTTAATTCTCTAGACATATAAAAAGCAAAAAAAAAAGATTATCAAAGAGCTAAATAACAAGCGCAACCATCACAATTACAGCACTAGCAATTATGTTTATGCCTAATGCTATTAGCTAATCGGATACATCTCAGAATTATGACAATAAAAGCATTACCTCAAAGACAAAAGATAGCAAAGCAGCAAGCACAAAACAATAGATATGAGCAAGAAAGTTATTTAGTGGTTTTAGCAAATTTACCAGGCTTATTAGTTTGTTGAACCGCTCGTCGAGACCTCACAGGAGCTGCCTTCGGTGACATATTGGTGGTGCCCTTCATATCTGCATCCGGCTCAGCAGATAACTGGGGGTGCTCATCAGATAATTTGGGCTCGCTCGTGGGCTTCGGATGTCGATCAGCTAATAATTGCAGATCTGCTGGTGTGCGCACCTGCTGACGACTCGGGGTTTTAATGTAGATATTGCCCCCGGCAGTCCACACTCTCCTCACTCCAAAGTGCTCACGCGAGGCTTGAAATAAACCCTGGCGACTTCTCGTTAGATACTCCGAGATGACCAATGAAGTGCCCTTGAGTTTGGTTTTGCCTTTCCAAACATCATTACGTACGTCTGCATCAACAAAGCGCACCACCACAGGCCTTACACGTCTATTTGTGACCGATCCTAGTCTGAAACATGCCTTGATGGATGAAGTAGAGATTTCGGTAATACCAAGATGCTTCTTCATTAATGTGGCAACAACAGTGCTCAGGTCCTCATCTTCACTTTCCGGGATGCCACTTATCAAGAGGAATTTCCTGCGATGCCTCATCACCATGTCATCAACAGTTCCAAGGAGCTGAGCAATTTGCTGCCTCAAAAGTGACAAAATGTTCCACACCAGCTCCCTGAAGGCATTAAAATCACTCTGAAGCTGCAAGATCCCATCCTTTCCATCACTGGCTGGTGACGCCGACTTCAGCTGTGCCTCAAAATCATCCATTCTGGCAAATAAAGTTGCTTCTATGGTCTTCTGGGTCTCCATCACTGCAGATACCGTAGCCATAGTGAGTAGTGAGAATGACAGTGATTTCTTAAGCGATGAAAGTAGAAAGGTGGCAGGTTAGTGCAGTCTTCAATTTAAACACACATCAAATAATGTTGTTAACAATATATGTCAATATATTGGTTGCTGTGATATAAATAAGCACACAGTTTGCCTAAAATTACAGTTTTTCCAATTATTTTAATAAATTATTTGAAGAGATGTGTTACTACTTTTTCTACACCTACCGCCAAAAAAAAAAAATATTAATATTGCCGAACCGACTATGCTGGGCCGCTTATGTGTGTAGCTATCCATCAACAGCCTATCCTAGTCCACTGCTGGACATAGGCCTCTCCAATTGCACGCCACTCAGATCGATCTTGGGCTACTCGCATCCAGCTCCTGCCAGCCACCTTGCGCAAATCGTCACTCCATCGCGCCTGAGGACGTCCTACACTACGTTTGCCTAGACGCGGTCTCCACTCCAGAACTCGTCTACCCCAACGGTTATCGATTCTTCGGTAAATATGGCCAGCCCACTGCTGCTTCAAATTGCTTATCGGGTGGGCTATGTCGATAACTCTGGTTCTCTGTCGGATTACCTCATTTCTGATGCGATCCTTCAGAGAAACGCCGAGCATAGCCCTTTCCATAGCGCGTTGAGCGACTTTGAACTTGTGGATGGATTCTACGGGTATAGCTATCCAAAACTCAAAGTCGCGGCACGAAACTAGCGCTGACCGTTATTGCGCAGAAGTAAAAATTAAGATGTCTTGGGGGGAAACGAGGTGCGCGGGTGGGCGTGCGTTGCGCCGATTGGCTCTCCAGTCGTACCCATGAGCAGCTATCCCTGACGAATTTTGATCAGCGCTAGAGTTACGTGCCGCGACCTGCACCTCTTTAACTAGCGTTCCGTTATCAACACGGAACCTTTATAGTTACGGCATGTCCGTCCATCTGTCCGCAGCTTGGCTTGGCATGGATACTTAGACATTATTAATTACGCCGACAAAATGGAATCTCCCCTTCGCACGACAATTAGAACCGCAGTAGTATAATTGGTCATTACATCCGTCCGGATATCGGAGAGTGTAGGTTCGAGTCCCGTCTGATGCCTGGTCTACTTAAAATTAGTCCTAGTAAAATTTATAAATAAATGAAGGGATGAATACTGGCAAAGGACCCTGTACCCGCGTTCTAGTTGGAACATACACCAAAACGAATATGGGTGCAATTGACTCCTTCATTTGTCTGAATTCCATAGGCAATCCTATTCGGGCTAACGACCAAGTGTAATTGTGCCATTACACTACTAACTAAGGTCTTTTATAAATCAACAATCATTACAGTAATAATAATACAGCTTATTTTATTCCATTACAAAGATAGTTATATACATTGTAATGTTAGTTAAGTATTTCTATGTCTTGTGCTTTTGCAATGGATCCCAATTCGGTAAAATACTCCTCCATCTTCTTCCAGTCCACTCTTTCTTGACAACCTCCGTGGCCGAGAGATATATACGCCAGATTTAATGGCATGGCGTCGCCTACTCGGAGGTCTGAGTTCGAATCCCGGTGGGGGCATTTGTTAGTATGATGAATACAAGCATTTATACCTTAGTCATGTAGGTGTATATATATATATTTAAATATTTATCAGTATAATTAAGTATTCTATCTGTTACCCTATCATCCCATAACAAAAGCTTTCTGAAGTGCTCAATTTCAGGCTCGGTTAATCGGTGTAAGTGTGAGAAATTGGCCCATTGCCACTTCAGCTTCAAGATTTGTTTCAATCTTACAACATTGTCTTCTTTCTTATCTCTCCACCTTTTTCTTTCTCTATTCTTCTTTCTTTTCATCTTTTCAAGATGCTCCTTTCCATAGCTCGTTGGGTTGTAATTATTTTAATTTTTATTTTACAATAGAGCATAACAAAACCTAGTTATCATTTGTTACATCACTTGGAGTGATTTAAATGACAGGCATTGGATCTTGGATCACTCTGTCTCAGCTGCAAGTAGTATTTTCTTCAATTTTAATTTGCTACAAACCTGAATCGCTCGGTTCAGGTGAGTAAGTAGAAGAGTGTTCAGAAGAATATTTTGCCTGATTTGAGAAGTTGCCAGGATATGAATACTTTGTATTATCAATATTTTCTTCAGCATCCATAACAGATTGAAACAAATTTCTTTTTATCTCTCTTTGATAACACTCCGGCATCTGCTTTGTGCTTTGATACATGGAATCAAAAAAAGCTTTCAACGAATCACTTGATGATGTAAGTACTTTACTTAGCTCGTCCCTCTGTGCAGTTCGGTTTTCTCGAATTTTTTGCATTTCTTTTAAATAAATTGACAACATATTTTCATTGTCAGGAACCATTTCTACCGTCTTAATTTTTTTGGGGTTTGTCTTCACTAATGAGTCTGAATCTCCACTATCTTCTGCTGCACTAGCTGTTTCCTCCAAACTTTTAGATATCTCAAGTGAAACATTTGAATCTCTTTCTGTACTTGACATATATGGAAGCAAAAATTCCATTCGAGTCATGTACTTCCAGGGTTTAATTTTTTTCTGTGACTGTCTACTTTTTGTCCTGTAAATTTTTTTTAGTTTTTCACGGTGCGTGTCACGCAAATTTTTCCATTTTGTCTTTGCCAGTGTAACTGTAAATAAAAAAAATAATAATAACAGCATCTTGTAACATATTAAAAACGTCACAGAGTTTTGTTTGGTTAAAGTGAGAGAAAGATATGTATAATAACCAGTTAGCAGCTTAAGAAAGGCTAGAAAGAATACGATACGGCCACCAGGGCCCCCGTAGCATAATTGGTCAGTGCATTTGCCCAGATAGCAAAGGGTGCGGGTTCGAGTCCCGTCTGCTGCCTGGTGCGTGTGGATTTTTTCTAGTAATATTTTCTTTACAATTGATACAAACATATGCTAATATTATCAATGATGTTGATGGTTATAGAGGTGTAGTGGATTTTCCTATTGAAGAAGACAGCCAAAATTTTGTCTAAGTAACAAAAAATGCATAATTTCATACTCCATCGAATCCACGAAGGTCATCAATACATAACTTCTATTTAAGAAGCAGTTTCAAACCCATTACCCACTTTCTCCCAGATTCTTAACTAGTAGCATTTTCATGAATTACGTAGGTACTATATTTATATGCAGCACAGTGCAACACTACTTTCTCGGGCGACATCCTAGCAACTTGTTTATAAACAAAGTGATCAATTTCATACACAAAATGTTGCTTTGGATTTAACAAGATATTAAGGTCCAGCTTACCATTTTCAATTTTTGTTTTCTTTATAATCTCTTTCCACGCTGCGTCTTTCACATCTAATTGTTTATATGAACTGTGTGTCGTGTCCCAAAGACAGGGATACTGTCGGACACATTCAATAAAAAAATCATCCATAATTCGTACACAATAGTTCGTATCCATAGTTAGGACTTCGCTCTTTTCTCGTTGCAGACTTACAGTTGTTAAAAGAGAGAATGCTTTTTTACTTTGACTTCAACTTCGATGTGCGAGCCAAGGAAGTAACATAAGTAAATGCTTTTACGGCCAGTTCATACAATACAAATACGGTCAGTAGATCACATTTGACATTTTTGTTGTTAAGTTCTCGCTTTTCAGGGAAGGCAAGGGGAATAATGCCCATACAGCCTAGTCTTAAGTTAAATTATTCTGTTTTTCTTTTTACATTAGAATGTCGGTGTGACGCATTCTAATGTTTCTTGAAGTGTTTGGCACGAAATGTATTCTCACGTCCACTTGACCGGAATAGCGTATATTTTGACGATTCTACTAATTCTTCAGTTACGCAGACAGTTCTAACACCAAATCACACCAATTTTATTTCACAATATCCACTATGAACGAATTTAAGAATAATTAAAATAAGACGCCAACCACACTCGATGAAATCCCGCCAAAAACTCCTCACATTTGACATCTGTCTGTTTTAGCTTCATAGTGAGGTGACTTACTTAAAAACATCGATTAAAGCGAATGAATCGATACAGACTTCAAAATGTGAATTTAAATCAATTATTATGACACTAATTACTACTGTAATTTTATTATAAAAATTATCAGATGAATCCATGTCCCATTATAATTTTCTATTGCAAATATAAGAAACAATTTCAAAAAAATTCATAAGTTAACTAAAAAAACATTTATTCAGTAAAACTATTGGAACTGTCACTATTATTGTCATTTTCATCACTTCTGCCAGCAGTTCAGCACTCAGAGAACACTACATTGATTCATTTTCAATTAAATTTCCTATATTCACATATTTTTCATTTCTTGCTTTTTATTAGCTTGGTTTGCTGTTTTTTTTATTACGAGGCGCCAAATTATAACAAATTACCCCTACTGCACACGATGTTTAGTGTAAGAATCCAGTCACGAAAATAGCTGATGTGGGAATTGAATCCGCATCTATTATGTATAATATTGCTAATTCGGCTGAGTTCGCATCCCGTCTAAAACCCGAACATAGTGGAACTTTTTCTAATAAAAATTTCTTTAGATTGAAACATTTAAATGCTTAGAATAAAAATATCACTAAAACCCTAATATGTTTTATTATAATCACAATGTTCAATTCATTTAAGGTGAAATATTCCATCGTAAGTAATTATTGCATCCATTTTTAATGGGCTCGCAAGGGCGGATCCAGCTTTGGCGCCAGGGGGGGGTCATATAGCCAGCTTTGGCGCCAGGGGGGGGGTCATATAGTCGTGGTATATTAAATATTGAAAGTACTTAAATAAAGTCCCCCTGGGGTTGGTCCATCTGTACCCAGCCCAGGGGGGGGGGGGGGGCATGACCCCCATGACCCCCCCCCCCCCCCTGGATCCGCCCTTGACGTCCCGAGTGTTTAAAAAGAAGAATGCGTTCACTTCATAGATTATAGAAAATACATACGGACGGCTTCATCCAGGTTCACTGTATGTTTAGAATAGTTTATTACTTAAAATCATGGACTTATTATTAAAGCACATTCCGTGTAAACAAAGAGATGTATAATTACAGTAACAATAGTTGATCACTGACTGTTCACACTGCCAACGAGAACTCGCTCCACAAGTTTGTCACTGAGCGACCAAAGTTATTTAACATAATACTCGCTTAGCCGTCAAAACGCATGCAAGTCCGTTTCTGCTCAGAGTCCCCAGCACGAATTTTGACAGCTCCCCGTAATCATATCGTATCGTCAAAGTTTCTATGAAAACTAAGCAGCGCCGCTACCGGACCTAATAAGAACAAACTGGCTCCTTCCATACAAAATTTGACGATAACGAAGCGGTCAAAATTCGTGCTTGGGCATCAGGAGCGAGTGGCGCGAGTAATCTGCCGTTGCAACTCGCTCCACTAGTATGTCGCTAAGCGACAAGAGCTATTAAAGCTAGTACTCGCTCAGCGATGCTCGCTAAAACGAGTGCATTTGTGCTCAGCGAGCGCACAATACTTAAAGTCGAAGAGCCGGCCGTATAAAAGTCCTATGGATCAGATACATAAATCATTTTTGGGGTATGAGCAATAAAGCCATAATTCTAGAGGTCGACACCCCTGCAGTTGCTTGATTTTGTCCGCATGAAAAATTATGACGTCACTTCCGGTTTTATTTTAATTTATCAAATACATCAAAAAAATGTATGTCAAACAAAAGTTTTTGATAAGTAGAATAGAAATGTCAAGAGTCGACAAGCTCTATTTATTCGCTACCCTGAGTCGACCACCATTAAAAATATATATATTTTTTAATTTATCTTAAGTCATCGAATACATGGATTTATTTACGATTTTCTGAAACTAGAACCTCTCAAATTACTGAAAAAAATTGCTCGTCACCTTTTATTTGCCCGGATCTAACTGTCGACTTAGTTTGAAGAATTAAAGAGCTTATGCTTATATATTTATATTTTCTTCGGTCATTGGATGGGTGACCAAAAATTTACTATTTGGAACGCTTCTGTGCTTTGGAAGGCACGTTAGGCCGTTGGTCCCGGCTGCATTTGCAGTCGTTAGGGCCTGCGTGGTGGGTAATGTCATGGCCCAATCTCCCGATTCCATCCATAGGGAAGACTTGTGCTCTACAAGGGCTAACATTACAACTTTCCGTTTATTATGTTGATCTATATGTTTTCCATTACGGTTCATGAGATACTGGTGATGGACAGACGGACAGTTGAGTTTTAGTAATTGTGTCCCGTTTTTGCCCTTTGGGTAAGGAACCATAAAAAGAAAAATGAAATCACAATAATTCATTGGCACTTCTTTATTGTTGAACAATAAACAATGCTACATTTGTTTAGTAAAATCATTCTTATTTCATATAAAAAAAGATATGGAGCATGGGTTTGGACCACGTTTCACTCTGCGAGTTAACAAAACGCGGCAAGAATGTTGCCAGCTTAAAATAATACAAGAAAAAATGGTAGAAATAGATGTGTTGAGTCTACAGAACATTACATTTTTATTTTTTAATGAAATAAAAATTCTACATGTTTTTAATTCCAAAATTTTTACTAGATAAAATCCACGCGGATCAGGCAGCAAACGGGACTCGAACCCGTACCCTTCGCAATCCAGGCGAATATGCACTAGTAAAATTTTCTATAGAACATTTCTTGTGTTAAATATATTGACTTAACAGTGATAAATAAATGCGAGAAGATTTTTTTATAATGGTATTTAAACTTAATTACACAGTCAAATTGAAAAAGATACATTTAACTTACAACCATATTTTTACACGAAATCACTCATAATTCAACAAAAAATATATAATAATTAAAAAAATAAAATTGGGCTTCCACGGATGAAAGGAGAAACACACATATTATAAAAAAAAACGAAAAATAAATACTTTCTTATGTACAGAATTCTATAATAATTATCCTCCTTACTCATACACCGGGTTGATAAAAATAATAATTTCAACTATTATTATTATTAATATTTTGTTTCCACACTGCCAAAAAAATTTCAAACTAATAAAATCAATTGCTTTATTAAAATAAAAACAATAATTTGGAGGAGAAGACCATTTTGGTGACATTTTAAAAACCCTGTATTTTTTCAAGTTCTTAAATACAAAGATATAAATGATTAGATATATGGTCAGAAGCTCAAACAATTTTTTTTCACCTTATTTGTGATCGGCCTTCTCAAGTTTAATTGTGTTTTTATCCGGCCGGGACAAATGACTTCACCCCACCTGATGTTAAGTGACGGTGAAGTCCAAACGCGAAGTTTTAGAAGAATTTAGAAGTTCTTATTAATGAGGTCTTGTTGGGTAAATTTTAGAAGTTCTTATTGAAGAGGTCTTATTGTATTTTACAGAGGGATAAATTTTAGAAGTTTCTATAACAGAGGTCGTGTTGTATTTTACAGAGGGATAAATTTTAGAAGTTCCTATAAAAGAGGTCTTGTTGTATTTTACAGAGTGGTAAATTTTAAAAGTTCTTTTGAAGTAGGTCTTGTTGTGTTTTAACGAGGGCTAAATTTTAGAAGTTCTCATACGAGAGGTCTTGTTGTATTTAAATGAGGGGTAAATTTTAGAAGTTCTTATTACAGAGGTCTTGTTGTATTTTAACGAGGGGTAAATTTTAGGAGTTCGGATTAGAAAGATCTTTTTGTATTTTATGTTTGATACATTTTCAGTCAATGGGTTCTGTGAAAGAGAGCATTCTTAATACTCAAAGTGATGGATGTAATACAACAAATTGTATGAATCGATTGATGTACGAGTTTGAGCCCAAACTGTAGGCAGTGCGGCTGCGAATTTCCACCTCAGAAGAATTTCTTGGCTTGAGCTTCTTTCCTCTCTCTGCAAATAACAATATTTGGCTGTTAATAAAAATAAATAAAAAGTGTGCACGGACCACACATCTGAATTGAAACTTCTTTTCTTCAATAACCTAACATTCGCGTGTGACGCTCGTGACGTTCGTAGCGTTTCAGCCTTCGCCGAGTTACCCTCCAACTTTCATGCTCGTCGAGAAGAGCTGCGCACGCATTTCAAAAACGCACACATATATAGTCGTGTGACACTCGTGACTCATTGCCGTTTCATCGCTTCCATAGAATTTTTCCATTTACACCCCACCCGAAAAGAAGTTTCACTTCAGGTTGAAAGGGATGATGACGGCGTAATGCAAACGAAATTCTATTTTGTCCGTTAGTTAGAATATTAAAAAATAATGCACACTTATTTTTTTGACAATCAACCGAAAAATTACAGAGATAATGCGCGTCAAAGTTTGCAAGCGGGTGCTCGTGACGTCACTTCTAAGTAAAAATTGTACCAAGACGTGACGTCACGCGACTTTTTCAAATCAATATTTCTGCGATGCGATGTAGGCCGATGAGTTCTTCTAATTCCATCCATAGGGAAGGCCTGTGCCCCGACAATAGGTACATAAATAATTAAGCTGATGAAGATGGTATTTACTCAGTTCCCTTAAATCAGCAAATACCCTTCAGAGCTTCAGCGGCGTCTATATCGACTAGACTGGGAGCTCTATTATATATGTTTGTACCTACGAATTTCGTTAGCGCGATGTAGGCCGATAAGTTCTTCTAAATCCATCCATAGGCCTTCCCTATATGCCCCGACAGCAGTGCTGCCAACTCGGATTTTGAAAAATGCGTAGGCCCGATGAGAAAATTACGTAGAATTGGTAAATTTTGCATATGAAAAGTACGTAGATCTACGTACTTTTTTCTGAGTGAAATGAAGAAGCTAGGCGAAACCGAATAAAACGAGTATTTTGTTATACAATTTCTTTGAAAACGGGAGATAGAACAAAGAGTTCTTGGAGAAGTCGCAGCATTGGAAGCATTTACCATGCCGTGGTAGACATTTTGACACAGACACTGGTGGGTGTCGATTCTGGCATGATTCTCTATATTTAAAACTAAATTTAACATCAGTCTCTCCTTTCCATTCTGTATAGAGAATGACAAGGATAAACTGTTGTTAAATAGACTAGTTGACACTTTTTGGAATTATGTTTAAAATTGTTAATAATTGTTTTATCACACCGAAAAAAATGTATTTTTTTTACCCAGAAGACATACAAAAACGCTATTTAGTCTATAGACTTATCTATGCTATGACGTCAAAACATTTGTAAACAAACACTCGCAAGCACGTAGGTAAAAAAACTTTCTGAGTTAATATTATAAAACCATGATTTCTAATAGATCACATGAAAATATAGTAGTTATCATGATACACTTGGTAAAAGACTAGAAAAGTTGTGGTTTAAATTGTGTGCCAAGAGAAATAAACATACTTACACATGAACACATGTTTAAAACTTGCTAAATCCTGTAACTTTATCGACTGAGAGTCATTTCATTTTGCAAAGATCAATTCAATGTAAGTACTCATTAAATAATATTTAAAGTTTAAAAATACAATTTTTAAGGTTATGACCGTACCTTAGTAGGTACTAAGTCAAAGAGTTTTGTTGTTTCTGCTTTCACAAATCCTGCGTCCAGCATTAATTTAGTCAACAAAACCAATAACGTGAACCTTTTCTACAAGAAACAAGAGTTTTTAGATATATCTTTATAAGAAATAAACATTTGTATAATTTTTAAGTAAAGTAACGGAAAATATTCTTCTTTATTCTAGTGAATTAAGTTATTTTACAAATTTGAAAAAATTAAAGAAAATACGTAGATTCTGGGACTGAAGTTAGTAGGTTTGCAGAAAAGGCCTAAAATACGTAGATCTACGTAAAAAGACGTAGAGTTGGCAACACTGCCCGACAGTAGGGGCGATTAATAATTAAACTGGATAATGGCGGTATTTACTCAGTTCCTGTAAATCAAATACCCTTCAAAGCTTCAGCAACCGCTCCGTCCCGCTCTGTATATATGTTTGTACCTACGAATTTCGTTAGCGTGATGTAGGCCGTGTGATTCACGGCCCGTCCTCCTAATTTCATCTATATGGAAGGCCTGTGCCCCAGCTCTGGCGGCATTAATAGGTTAATGATGATAATGGCAAATAATATGAAATAGCAGCTGCATGGACACACACACACACAAACACACATGCATACGCGCACACATACCCACTCACACTTCATAAAGTTATCATGTGACAAGCTCTTGAAAACCCTTTTATATGGATATTCAGTGTTTGTTTTTCTTCTTTTTTGTCTTTTTGTGAATTATATGATTTTTATGCAATTTTTAAAATTAAAATAAATTAAATGTAGTAATTACTGACACATAATAACGCCGTTAATATCTAATGTGTACGTAATGAGTTTCTGTAATTGGCCTTAAGATTATATCTATATTTTATTGTATTAAATTTCACAAAAACCGCTGTAGAAACTTTGTTAAAGATAAATAAATAAATATTACATTACTTACTTGTACATCGAGTATAGGAACATAATGGTCAGCTGTGATGCTACTACCATGAGCAGTCCCGTCAAACTAACGCAAGAAACATTTGGGCAACTCAGCTGAGACGCGGGCGCTATCTGAGGCGCAACTGTTAACCTGTGAAATAAGCAAAATATATCAAATCATCATTATCATAAAAATCGTTTATGCAGCACAGTACACGGCTACAGATGAATTGTTATACTTATAACTTTACAAAATAACAAAAAAATATAGACAACTTATAATAAATACCCAACGATATTTAATACCCTAGATACGCCAACACGAACAAAATCGTGCCCGAAACCTGTCCAAAAGGTACATTGAACGATTCACGGAGGTCCGTAAGGTAATCGCGTAGTCAAAATCAATGTAAGGCATTATTTAAATATGGAAATTAACCTTTAATACATGCTGTATATGGTCTTAAATAAAACGTATACGTCAAGGACTTCTGACAGTTCGAAATGCAAGCACGTAAAATTTTACAACTTATTGCTATATGCGGAAGAATTTAGACCTTAGTTCTTTGAGTCTACGCGCAATTCTGAACGCGCTGTTAGCAATATAGCAGGCACGGACCGCGAGGAAAAGAGACGGCTCTATGGCGACGTATAACTGATCATTTTTGAATATCACAAATATTTTATATTGAATCAGCTTCTAGTAAGTATTACATCAAAATTTACTTAAAAAAACCGTTAAATTAACAAACATTGACTAGATACTTGTCGAAAAAACGTCACTTTTCGTACTCTAAGTAGTATTTTTGCATTTTTTCGCGGAGCTCTTCTATTTTGGTACAGCTATGATTGCTATTTTTTCTTTCGAAGGTTAATACTTGTAAAATATTCATTTGGTATTGTGGGTTACCTACAAAGCGAAGAGATGGCGCTGCCTTGCAGCTTAAGAAATGCTAGAGAAAATTCGACACCACCATCAGGGCCGTGGTAGTATAATGGTCATTGCATTCGATCGAGTCCCGTTCGATTCGAGTCCCGTTTGCTGTCTGGTCCGCGTAGAAATCTAGTAAAATTTCCTCTAGCTTGATTTAAGGTCTATTTTCCCTTACCTCTGCGTCACTCCAGCGATGGCTTGCTTTTTAAATTGATTTCCTATAGTTATTAAAAGCTCGACCCTAATACTTAAACTTAAAATCTATTTTCCCTTACCTCTGCGCCGTTACAGAGATTTGCTCCTTTCCCTTCGAGGCTTGCTCCTTTTATTGATTTCTTAGTTATTACAAAACTCGACGCTATTACCTAAGCATAAAGTTTATTTTCCCTTACCTCTGCGCCACTCCGGCGATGGCTTGCTTCACATGTCCTATAGACTCCCGCATCTCCCCCAAGAACTGTGTGTTGACCGCTCCACCCGCGCCTCCCCCGGCCGCTATCAAAGCGTCCGATTTACGAGAAACCTCGATTATGAACCCTCTGGTGTAAGAAATAAGGACACATTTATAAATTTCATTTGATTATCTTGCAACAGAAATACCATTAAAAGTTGATAAATAATAATGCTGTATTGGCATTGCAATCTTAAACTATAAAATGTCCTAAATGTATTATGTAGTTATTTATTTAGAATTTCTCATCTTTATAAAAGAATAGTGTGTTTGAAAACGAGCTAGCCTTACAGTAGTCGCGTATGATGTGTAACATTTGAAACCTCACCTTATATTAGTAAAAAAAGAAATAAAACCTACTACAAAAGGAATAAGCCATTTGAACATGATGTTCTAAAATAAAATCAAATAGAGCGCGTTTACGCGACTTCCTGTTACACACTTCCGTCCCATTTCACGAAATCACTCCCACAAATTGCAGGAAAGCGAGAGGAAAGATGTTACACATCAAAAATATTTCACTACCTACATTCATAAGATATCTGACCATTGTATGGAGTGGAGGGTTGATAATCTGGGATACAGGAATTTCCTAGTCAGGTATCAGCCCACCACAGTCTGCTGCATTGTACCATTGCTTCATGTAAGACTTATTGAGATTGTGGTATGAGAAAATAAAAAAATATTATTATTATAAATAAACTGGCGACCGCTCGCGTTAAATTTAGATTTTTCGGAATTCCACAGAAACCTGTAATTTTTTTTGGACATAAAAAATGTGCCGTGTTTGAATCCAGTTCATGCATACCAAATTTTATACAAATCAGTTCAGCTGTTTTTGCGTTATTGAGTGACAAACATACAAACTTTCACATTCTAATATTAATTATAATAAAAATTCTCGTCGGTAACTGGTTGCAAAACACAGTTGCAATGGCGGCCGAAAGCAATATTTGAATAAATAAATATTTCTAAAACTCCCACCAATTAGCCTAGCTGCAAAGTAAGCAGTGTAAGGCTTGTGATTAGGGATACTAGGATAACGGATAGATATACATATACTGATACATATATATATTTACCTAGAAATACATATAAACATGATTCGAACCCGTGACCTCTGAGTAGGCGACACCTTTAAACCACACAATGTATCGTTTTACCCTCCAACTTTCATGCTTGTCGGGAAGAGCTGCGCACGCATCCTACACACACACACACACACACACACATATATATAGTCGTGTGACACTCGTGACGCATTTCCGTTTCATCTTTTCCCATAGGATTTTCCCATTTACACCCCGACCGAAAATAAGTTTCACTTTAATAAATAAATAAACTTACTTCAGCTCTGCGATGGTGTTGATCATCAGTTGGTTATTTGTAACTAAAGCGTCCCAATCATGCCTTCCGATGGGTAGCGACGGCATCTATATAGTAAAACAAATATTATAAGTTAAGCAACTTCCTTAACGGCCGTTTACAGGATGGGTGACCGAAAATTCTGCGTGCTTTGGAAGGCACGTTTATTCGCTGCAATGTAATTTTATTATTTCAGTTAAGTTATCAAAGTAATTAAATACAGGCAGTCCTCGTACTTACGGCATGTTAGGTACTCGAATTACGCGACGTAAATCGAAACGTCGTAAGTCGAGATACCCCCACGGACGCCGACCACTCGGACATTAACCTCGCGACAAGTGAATTCTCCTATGCCGGAAATCGAAACAATTGACGTATGCTTGAGGAATAGTGTCAAAACATTGTTTGACGTAAGTTGAAACGACGTTAATCGAAACGACGCGACGTAAGTCGAGGACTGCCTGTACTTTATTCAACTTACTTTACTTGGAAATTAAAATGAGAGATGTAGTGCAGATTTTTCAAAACTCGGTTAAAATTGTACCACCATATTATCATTTCTAATTCGAAACATTATTATACTATAGCCACAAGCCCGTCACGTCATATCCATCTCATACAAAAATAATCTTGGTAACCTTAATCAGTCAATCCATCAAAAAATTAAAAGTTCCAGATTAAATTACCCACTATGCTATAATTAATTCTTTTTTTTATTTTTAATAAATTAATTGGTTAAAAACAAATCAAATATTATCATCTATACATATATGATAATAAAATGGTAGGAAAGTCAAAACTGTACATTGAATATTTAAAAAAAAAAATGCTTGCGGTGTGATCTACAATTGATGCCAAAGGCAAAAATAAAGTTTTTAGAATTTTTGTCTGTTTGTCTGTATGTATGTCCGGGATAAACTCAAAAAGTACTGCATGGATTTACTTCAAATTTGGCACGAATATTATAAAGAAGTCGGGTCAACATATAGGCTACATATTATCACGAAACTCCACTAAGGGTGTAATACGGGGGTTGGAAGTTTGTATGAAAGTCCTATGTTTTTGAAGTAAGAGACTTGAAATTCAACATGTATGCTCTATAGATGGTGTAGAGGTGTACTAATAATATACAGTGAAACCTGCTTAATTGGGATCTCAAGGGACCAAGACATATGTATCAATTATTGAGGGTATTCAATAATACAGTTTTCCAATTAAGCAGGTTTTAAAATATAGTTGTCTCATTTACAGACGACGCGAAATGTATGTAAACAAACATATCAAAACGTGTTACAACCTTATTAATTAGTCTCACTTATACAGGTAATATATTAAGCAGCTCCAAAAAGTCCCATTAACAGAGGTAATTTAATGAAAAAGAACCGGGACCTCATTGCAACTCTTAATAATAGAGGTTTCTCACTTATCCAGGCCCCACTAAACCAGGTTTCACTGTATCTTTAGAAATAAACCCCCTTTTGGGGTCAAAAAGTATGTGCAAATAAGTAACTGCACGCGTACGAAGTCGCGGGCGGCCGCTAGTATTTTATATATAAAAAAATTGTCCTTATTACCTGCGCAGGCGCTTGTCCTGGTTGTACGGGTTGTAGCGGCTGACCTTGCGTGTGACTGTACACTGCACTTAGAAGGGTCAGAGAGTTGGTCTGTTTGCCTATAACCTAGAGGAAACAACAAGTTTGGTAAATATTAAAAAAACAGAAAAACAAAAGCGTGTTTTAATTTTTTTTAAATTGTTAATATATTTTACTCTTTTTAGTTTCAGTCATCAGGAAAAATTAATAGAATATGTTAAGACTAATCTAATGAGCCCAAACTCGATTTGTTTACTAGTAGGCAGTCCAAGGCTCCATCAGCCACCTTCCAGTCACCAGTATTACAATACTGTTTGTCTAATGAGCATTGTACCACTGTTTTTTGTCGGACTAAAATAAACTAAAAAAAAAAGATCGAGCAAGCCTTACAGTAGTCACATATGATGTGTAACATTTGAAACCTCACCTTATATTAGTAAAAAAAGAAATAAAGCCATTTGAACATTATGTTCTAAAATCAAATAGCGCGCGCTTTCGCGACTTCCTGTTACACACTTCCGTCCCATTTCACGAAATCACTCCCACAAATTGCAGGAAAGCGAGAGGAAAGATGTTACACATCAAAAAGAAATGTCTTACCTCGTCGACTTTCTTGTTCAGATCCCTCAATGTGTCTTGAAGAGCCATAACCCCTTGCCATATCTGACGGAACTCTCGTTGGCCGTCCGATTCGAACCAATCTTCGAATTCATCCTTTTCGTGCACCTATAAAAAGAGAAGGATAGGCATATTACTATCTCTCGATATAACGAGGATATATACAGGGTGTTACAAAAATACAAATAAAGCTTGAAGAGCGTTGAAGTACATCATATAAGGAGACTTCTCTAATTTTCTTAAAATATTTGCGGATGAAGTTTTATTTTTATATAAAAACAGTTATTTTTAAAATGCCTGCGTAAAGTGGCTATTTTTATGAAATTTTTTGGACACATAACACTAAACTTTCCACGTTCAAAATTTTTTATACTACGCTAGCTGACCCAGAGAACTTCGTACCGCCATAAAAATAGAGGCTGGTGGTAGAAGTGTGAAAGAAAATTTAGGTTTGTATGTATTTTTTAATGCCACATTATAAAAAAAAAGTCCCAAAAAAATGTTTGGGGTGGACAACCCTTATCACTTTGGGGTATAAAAAATAGATAGTAGCCGATTCTCGGACCTACTGAATATGCATATAAAACTTCATAAAAATCGGTCAAACCGTTTCGGAGGAGTGTGGTAACTGAGATGTGACACGAGAATTTTATATATAACATTAAGGGAATGTCAAGCTATGAAATCTAATCTCGACCAATTAACGTGAAATTTTATATGCATATTCAGAATCGGACAACATCTATTTTTCATCCCACTAAATGATAAGAGTGGTCCACCATAAAATTTTTATTTGACATTTTTTTTTTATGATACATCATACAAAAATACATCCAACCCTAAATTTTCACCCTTCTACCACCCATCTTTTTATGGCGATATGAAGGTCGCTGGCTCAGCTAGTAAACATATAAAAAATAGTTATGTTTTTATTTTTTAAGCATTTAACTGCTAGATGTTTAAATCTAAAGAAAAGTTTACTAGAAAAAATCCACTCGATTATTTGACATTGTGGGTTACCTACATGGTTATAAAGTTGGTACCCCCACTTTAAAAAAAAAAGTAAAACGGTGAAAATTTCGAACTAATTAAGGACAATTTAGGACTGCAAGAAAAAAATTTCCGACCACCCCCTAGTTCGAGATATTCGAAATTTTCAATGGGGGTGCTAACTGGGAATTAAGTTAGCACCCCCACTGCGTTTTAATGTTTAAAACACATTGTTTAAATACATCAAAATTTCGAGCTAATTAAGGACAACAAAATTAACAACATCCCAACCCCGATTTTCAACCCTCTATCCCTTTATCGGCAAAAACATATAGAGTAAGTAACTCTTATATCTACTCTTATAACTCTTGTAGTTGTGACAATATATAGATTAACTGACCTCATCGGGGTGTTCCTTCTTATATTGATCCTTCTGCTGTTGCAACTTCTGTTGGTACTCTTGATATTCTTGAGCCAATTTTTGCTGCTCATCTGCGCTCATTTGCTGACCGCCACCTGATGTATAGATAAAAACATAAAGTAAATCCTATTTTCTAGTAATATCATAAATGTGCAGAACACCTGATTGAAAAAAAATGTCTACTGCGTGGCTATTAAAATACATAATGAATTATCATAATAAATTAGGGACAAGCCTGCAGAAAATTATCAATTTAAAAACAATTCTGAGGTGGCATGTAGATCTATCTAGCATCCCATAACACAAACCTTATAGTGCTTACTTTGGGGCTAGGCTAATTGGTGTGAGTGTTGGAAATATTTATTTATTTATTTTATTTATAATATTTCTAATACAGTAGAACCCGTTTAATACGATCACGCTTAATACGATTTCTCGCCTAATACGCCATTTTGCGTCAGTCCCTGCAACTTGGGTCATGTTTTCATACATTTTTCAACGCTTAATACGATTTTTCATCCCGTTTAATACGCATAAATCGCCAACACGTATCACATAGGTATAATACCTCTTAAACAGCATAAAATTCTATGAGACTGTGAATAAAACACAAAAGAGGTCCCAAGTGATAATGATCAAGAAGAAGATGAGTCAACTCCGATTTTGTCAGACGCCCAGGCATTATCAGCAGTTAATGATTTAAGAAAGCGTACACGCACTGCATAAGTTAAATAATGTTAAAAATCTTGTAATTGCTAATGCCTCAAAATCTTTTTGACAAACTAATATAAGTAATTAATTTAAACATTGTAATAATTAATAATAATACATTACATTTTTTATGACATACATAATTCTTAAATATTGTACATTTAATACCTCAATACCTACATTCGAAATTTCCCTATCCCGCAATCTATATATATATAAAACTCAAAGATGACTGACTGACATAGTGATCCATCAACGCACAGCCCAAACCACTGGACGGATCGGGCTGAAATTTGGCATGCAGGTAGATGTTATGACGTAGGCATCCGCTAAGAAAGGATTTTGATCAATTCTACCCCGAAGCGAAGCGAGGGCGGGCCACTAGTCTAGCATAATACGCTTTCCCGCTTAAGACACGTGTTTGGTTGAATCCCTGTGAAATCGTCTTAAACGGGTTTTACTGTACGTTGTTTAGTAAAGTTTAAAAAAAAAACATAACTCACCCTGTTGCTGCGTAGAATGAAGCGATGTAGTAAGGAAGTGTATCACATCGTGGTCGTCGGCCAAACCCCCGGTCGCAGCCGAAACACCGAACAAACCTCCCCTTGGCAACACTACGTTCTCGCTTCGGAAACATAGTTCGTAATCTGCGTCGTTGTTGGTCATACCTGCACGAAACAATAATAATAATAAATATTCTTTATTGCACACAACAAAGGACACAAGACATAAAGAAATAAAACAGAAGAAAGAGTACAATAGACGGCCTTATTGCTAAACAGCAATCTCTTCCAGGCAACCTATGGTGGAAGAGGAATAGTAATATAGTTATGATTTTATTAATTTTTTAAGCATTTAACTGCTAGATGTTTAGATCTAAAGAAAAGTTTGGTCCGCGTGGATTTTTTTCTAGTAAAACTTTTCTTTAGATTTAAACATCTAGCAGTTAAATGCTTAAAAAATAAATAAAATCATAACTATAATTGCTATTTCTTCTTTCAAATGTTTAATACTTGAAAAAGTATTCATTTGACATTGTGGGTTACCTACAATGCGAAGAGATGGCGCTGCCTTGCAGCTTAAGGCTAGGAAAAATTTCGACGCGGCTAATAGGGCCGTGGTAGCATGCGGGTCCCGTCCGCTGCCTGGTCCGCGTGGATTTTTTTCTAGTAAAACTTTTTTTTAGATTTAAATAGTAATATAGATAAATATAGAAGGGTGCTAAAGTGAATACAGGAGATAATCCTTACATAAATATTCAAGAGAAGCAAAGAAATGGGATGCTAAATGAATTTAAGAAACGGTAAGGCAATAGCTTTTAACTTGATCGCTAAAGGAATTGACGACCTCCGTGGCCGAGTGGTTTGTACGCCGAGTTTCATGGTGTCGCCTACTCGAGAGGTCCCGGGTTCGAATCCCGGTAGGGGCAGATGTTTGTGTGATGAATACGAGCATTTGTACTCCAGTCGTGGATGTTAAATATGTATTTCTATATAAATATACTTATATATGTACTGTATATGTATTCTTATCCGTTACCCTAGTATCCCATAACACAAGCCTTACAGTGCTTACTTTGGGGCTAGGCTACTAGGAACGAGCCTTTCTGATTAATTTACAAAAGAATCCAATAAGCCCCAAAGATGTGGTGCTGGCGAAGGATGGAAAGAATTAGTTACGACTGAGAAACTAACAAATGAAAAGGTATTGGACATTGTAGACGAACGGAGAGCTCTGCTCGACACACTGAAGATCAGTACCCTTAGTACGAGTTTTAAAATTACGAAAACTATGATAGTTTTCGTGAGCTCGCACTCGTACTAAGAGTACTGATTTTATTGTTTTCGTTTCAATACAAATAAACAGTGTTTAAATTATATCATTAAATCATTTGCGTCTTCTTAAATTTTAAGTAGGTATATTTGGTTACACTTCACCAAAATGGACATAAAAACATAATTTACAATTACGATAACTATGATAGTTTTCGTGAGCTCAAACTCGTACTAAGGGTACAGTGGGGGAAGAATGCTCGGCCACCTTGTGCGACACGACGAATTCATAAAGAACATCATTGACGGAAAAGTGGAAGGAAAGAGAGGAAGACGAAGACCGAGGATAGCCTACACTACTGGTTCATGCGTCATGCTCGGGAACGGGTGCTGCCAGCGGAGTTGAGTCTGCCCTAACTACTTTGATACTTAAGATGTAAATGTTTAGTTACACCTATCATAAATAACTATTTGTATTTATACTGTATGACACAGCAATCAAAAATAAATGCAGGCGAACAATTAATGTACAATTTCACATTATGTAATGAAAGGTGACTTAATGAATAATCTCTGAAGTCATTTTTCAATTTGATGACTCTGAAAATAATAAAACAGGGAGTATAAAACAGCCCTTGCTGAGTTTCTTGCCGGTTCTTCTCAGTACAAGGTCTCCCGCCATAGATTTACGAATCGATGGCGTATGGATGTCCTTGTAACAGCCTAAACTAAATAAATGATTAGGTTATGATTATGATTATAATCAATTCAAGGAAAAGATTGACGTCCAGTCGTACAGGGAGCTGAAAGAGTTGGCGAAGGACAGAGGGAGATGGCGGAGGATCCATAGACTGCACCGACAAGAGCACAGCTCTTAAATTAGGAGAGAGAGCCCCAAAAAACTTTTTTTTTTGAGTGTGTTTGCTGTTGGTCGCAGATGACCTTTACAGCGTTACCGGGTTTGGGGACGGCGAGATCCTAAGGGGACTTCAAGCCCAGAATTGGCGAGTGCCTCTAGAAGTATTCCAGGCGGATGGCATCCCCACGGGGGGAGTCTCCTCTCCGTCTGGAGCCTCTAGACCACTCGAACCTTAGGGGGTCGGCTCAACTAGAGGGTGTCTCTGAGACTCGGACCTCGGCTCTAGTAAGCCGTTGTCGTGGGGGGTCGTAGTTACAGATGAAGGAGTGAGGGCCAAAAACTGGCACCCCGCGTCAATTTACATTCAACTCATAAAGTCGCACCGCCTTATATCACAATATTGGGTAAGGGAGAGCGGGGTAGAAAGTACCGGGGGTAAGGGAGAGCGGGGTAGAAAGTGGGGGGGGGGGGGGGGGTAAGTTGTGCTGATGGAAATATATCAGAAAGAGATAATAATATGTTCGTATTGTGTCTGGTGTTCTGGAAATTTAGCGCATGCGCGGTGGCTATTAAAGTTGCGCGAGATCCTTGGACAAAGAACTGCAGGCCAATCGCGCTATTTCTTATTTTGAACGATCCGCCAGAGTTAAATGATGGATCAATCGTAGTCCAATTCTAATTGCAAGTCAACTTTATACGAAATCTGTAACGCGCTAATTTTCGTCTGTCAACTGAAATCTACTTTATATTTTTGACTGAAGTTCACAAACGTGATACGTTTACATCTCAACTAGCTGTCAAAACATTAGCGCGTTACCAAATGTCATAAAGACTTGCGGTTCGTTAACGGTTCTCAATGCGATTCAGTCGTTTGGCATTTAGCTCGAACAGCGTCCTGTGGAGCTTGTGTCTTTTTAATGTCGACGACCTCCATGGCCGAGTGGTTTGTACGCCGGGTTTCATGGTGTCGCCGACTCGAGAGGTCCCGGGTTCGAATCCCGGTGGGGGCAGATGTTTGTGTGATGAACATGAGCATTTGTACTCCAGTCCCATGACTGGAGTACAACAGAAATACATATTAAACATCCATATGTTTAATATGTATTTCTATATAAATATACTTATATATGTACAGTATATGTATTCCATCGGTTACCATAGCATCCCATAACACAAGCCTTATAGTGCTTACTTTGGGGCTAGGCTTATTGGAGTGTATGGGAAATATTTATTTATTTAATGCCACTCTTTTAATTATGATTTTAAATTCTTATAAAATTAGACCAATTGAAAAACTCTTTTACGGTCAGTTTACCTTTAGTCTCTCAGAAAGTTGAATAGATAATTATATTTTAAAGCATTTAACTGCTAGATGTTGGAATAAAGAAAAATACTAGGAAAAAAAAGTATTTTCCGCTTCCGTACGGATAGTGGAATGGCCAGTGCCCCAGCAGTGGGTACATCAATATGCTAATGATGCTTACCATTGTGGAAGTACACTGTAAGGGTGTTCATGTAGTATTCAACTCGCGCCCGTGTCGGGAAAGGCTTGTTGCGGAAGTCGCGAAGGCAGCCTGATAGAAGTTGCTGAGAGCCATCGCTAAAGAACAACAAAAAAATTAGTGTGCACGGACCACACATCTGTGGTGAAACTTTTCTTAAATATCCTAACATTAGGCGGTGCATAAGCAGCGCAGTGCACACATCACCCCTATATACAGGGTGTTACAAAAATGCAAATAAAGCTTGAAGGGCGTTGAAGTACATCATATAAAGAGTCTTCTCTAATTTCTTAAAATTAACTTTTTATAAAAACGGTTATTTTTAATGATCCTCGAGCTAGTGACGTGTCTTAAAATGACGAAATTTTTATTAATCATTAAAAATAACTTTTTTTATAAAAAGTTAAAAACTTCATGCAAATATTTTAAGGAAATTAGAGAAGACTCCTTCTATGATGTACTTCAACGCCCTTCAAGCTTTATTTGTATTTTTGTAACATCCTGTATATATTGTGGCGTTTCAGTCTTCGCCTAGTTAGGGGCCATCCATAAAATACGTCACACGTTAATGGGGAGGGAGGGGGTCGACGAATTGTGAAATTGTGTGACAGGGGCGGGAGGGGTCCTAAGTTTCGTGACGTCCCTATTCAAAATCTAATACCAATTTTTTAAATATTATCAAAAATCTTTAAAACATATGTAGATCTCTATTTGTATGGGTTTTCAAATCACTTAATTTGTGTGACGTACTTTATGGATGACCCCTTACCCTTCAACTTTCATGCTTGTCTGTAAAAGCTACGCACGCATCTTACACACACACACACATATATATCGTGAACCATTTCTGTTTAATCTTTTCCATCTATAGGATTCTTCCCTTTACACCCTGTCTGAAAGAAGTTTCACTTCACAAAAAATTATGCATTAAATTGTTCTCAGTTTTAATATCTAAAGAAAATTTTAACAGAAACAAAAATATTCATTCGGTCCAGCCTCTTAGCATGAACACCGCGATATACATTTCAACAATGACATTTAGCATTCGCAAACTATTCGAATTCGATATTCGTTGTTAGGGTACTGGTGACTCCAGTGTAACATATAGCGGATAATAAAAATATATAAGACCTTATAATTTTTATTATTTTAAAGCATGTAACTGCTTGATATTTAAATCTAAAGAAAATATAACTAGAAAAAATTCGACGCGGACCAGACAGCAGACGGGACTCGAACCCGCACCTTTCGCAATCCGGGCGAATGCACTGACCAATTATGCTACCGCGGCCCTCGCGGACCGCGTCAAAATTCTTCTAGCCATTCTTAAGCTGCGAGGCAGCGCCATCTCTTCGCATTATAGGTAACCCACAATGTCAAATGAATACTTTTACAAGTATTAAACATTTGAAAGAAGAAATAGCAATTGTAGTTATAATTTATATTATTTTAAAGCATGTAACTGCTTGATGTTTAAATATATATATTTTTCTAGTTATATTTTCTTTATATAAGACCTTTTTATTAATTACAAGTACCACTTCTGTTACTCGCAGAATAAATTACTTGATTTGATATAAAGGAAAATACTCACCTCTTGTGGTCGAACACCTTCGTTCCATCGTTGAGTACAGCCATGATGTAAGGATTGTTGTGCTTGTTGTCGTTGTCGAACGAATCGAAGATGATGGCCAGACCGTTCCATCGGTCCGATGAACCGAACACATCACCGGTGTAGTCTCCCCGGGTTGTGGTATACCAGAACGCCTAGATGGAAAAAAAATTAGACTGCACGGACCACATATCTGAAGTGAAACTTCTTTTCTTAAATAACCTAACATTAGGCGGTGCGTAAGGCATAGGGGAGTGGAGCAGCGCACACAGCATATGTATACATATATTGTGCGTGGGACGCTCGTGAAGCTAGTAGCGTTTCAGCCTTCAAAATTCAAAAAATCAATATCTTTAATTCAGTCTAGGTTGTTTTTACAAGCATTTGTGAATGTTGAAAAGCTACGCCATCGGTTCGCAAATCTACGACCTTGTACATAGAAGAACAGGCAAGAAACTCAGCAAGGGCTGTTTTTTCTCCCTGTATTTTAAACAGAGTCGTCAAATTGAAATATGAATTCAATATGAGATAACTCATCAAATCACTTTCCATTTCAAATGTAAATGATATTAAAATTATGACTATAAAATAAAAAAATATGAAAAAACTAATTTAACAAAGTTTAAGTTTAGGATGTTTGCCGTGTCCTACTGTTTAAGTGTCGAGAAGAGACGGAGAAGGAGAATAATTTCTTCTTCAATATCACTGATTCCGAACCTTTTATTATTGAAACAAACCACCGTCATACATGTATCAGTGACATGTCGGCTTGGTAAAATAAGTCACTGTTTGGTTAACCATTTTCGTGCTTAGATTAAAACAAAAAGTCAACGGTACACTCATACCTACTAGTCTATATTATATAAATCTCAAAGGTGACTGACTGACATAGTGATCTATCAACGCACAGCCCAAACCACTGGACGGATCGGGCTGAAATTTGGCATGCAGGTAGATGTTATGACGTAGGCATGGAGCACCCCCACTAGAGTCCGCATCACACAAATTTTGCTTGGAATCAAAATCGCCAAAGTCGGTGGGGTGCAGGGAGGTCAGCCCCGCTGTGATTGGACGCGTCAAGGTCAGATCATACACTCAGTGCAGCGAAGTGATGAGGGTAAGATCGATTTTAGAAAATATCGATATTTTCTATCGATAAACAATTTAGAATAGAGGCCTAGTACTTTGGTGCGCGAGTGTAAGCAAATGCCTAATCATACCCTCTCCACTTTCTTCCAGCGTTCTAATTACATGACGCGACTAGTAACTACATACTAAATTATATATAAGCAACACAAAAAAAAACACGCCCAGGACAAGAAGTATTAATGCAACGATATTAACTACCCTAGATACAACAACACGAACAAAATCGTGGCCGAAACGTGTCCAAAAGGTACATTGGACGATCCGCGGAGATCCGTAAGATGATCGCGTGGTCAAAAACAATATAATGCCTTATTTAAACATTGAAACTCACCTTTAATGCCTTAATTAAAATGCACGCGTTAAGTTCGTAAAATTTTACGATTTATTGTTATGTGTGAAAGAATATAGACCTTATTTTTTTTGACTTTTCGCGCGCAATTCTGAATGCGCTGTTAGCAATATAGCAGGTACAGATCGCGAAGAAAAGGGATGGCTAAGGGCGACGTATAACCGACCATGCATTTGAATGTCACAAATATTTTATATTAAGTTAGTTTATAGTAAGTATTACAACAATAAAATTTGCTTTAAAGGCGTTAATTAAAAAACATTAATTAGCTACCCATCGCAAAAACGACACTTTACGTTCTATTAGTATTTTTCTGTATTTTTTCACGGAACTCTTTGGCATCTTGACTTTTCAACGGTCCGCGATTGAGTGGAGTTCAAGTACTTCTTGATGGGGACACATTTTGAGCGCTCGTGGTGTTTCTAGGGTATTTAATATCGTTAATTCTATGTCTTTATCTAGGTCATAAACTATGCGCACTTAATTTCATACAAATCCGTTTAACTGTTTTAGCGTGAAAGAGTAACAAATATGCATACAAATTTTCGCGTTTTTTCAATTTTATTAGGATATGTTTGAAGTCAAATAAAAACTGTTGGTTGTATACTCATGACATCTATTGTCTACGATGAAATAAATAGTTTTTATTTATTTTTTCAATTTCCATAGCTGACAAACTTATCGATAAACTTACGCGTTGAGACATGAGCTGCGTCTGAGTCACTAGCAATACATGTGCCGGTGTGAAAGCGAGATAGCATATATGATGTAGCCCATGCGAGAAAGGGATAGTGTAAAAAGACATCAACGCGTTCACCAAAAAATAAATACAATTAACACCAATTTAATATAACAGTATTTTTGTAATGCATTTAAACTAACCAGTGAAAAGTAATACCATTTTTTTTAAGACTGGAAGTTGTACTCGACTTTCCACACAATTTAATTGCACAGTACGGCATTTTTTACAGTTTTTTAACACGAAAACGAGAGAAGCAGTTCGACCAACGCTCGGTTACCGAATGAAACGATGTATCGCGACGTCTGTAGGCGTGCCTCACGCATAGGTAAAATACTACTTAAGCTTGGCGTAAGCGCTTGCCCTTGTATGCGGACTCTAGTGGGGGTACTCCGTGGACGTAGGCATCCGCTAAGAAAGGATTTTGGTCAATTCTACCCCCAAGGGGATAAAATAGGAAATGAAAGTTTGTATGAAACTTTGTCAATTTTAAACCGATCGGGCTGAGATTTTGCATGCAGGTATAAGAAGAATCATAGATGAATGTGCCTGAGAACAAAAACTGTAGTCTACACTTCAGCTTTACACCGAAGCGAAGCGAGGGCGGGCCGCTAGTATTAAATAAAATATGATCCAACTCCACTACATAAGCAACTGTCACTGACGCACACTTCTGTAAATAAACATTCAATCGAGCGAGCGAGACAGAACTGGACGCTTCAACGCAGCGCGAGCGAAACGGTGCGCTCGCGTCGTTTTGCAGCCGACTGCGTTTTCTTTTCTCTCTCTATAGACAGCTGAGCCGTATTGTTGTCCTTTTCTTGATAACAAATGGCGAATTAGTAACTAACACTCATGACATACCGTGACTTCGGAGAAAAAAATATTTTTTAGTTTTACTAATAAAAAGTGTTGCCGTAGTATTTGCTATTCGGTCTTGAATTATTTGTGTTCTTTATTAAGGCATTGTTTTGTCTTTATAACACAGAATATACGCAATATTGTTATATTGAGTGTACGTACAGCGTGTTTGTATGTCCAATTGTGACTAAAGCGAATTGTGGTCATGCACCACAATTTAAGCGGATCGAACCGTATCTTCCCTTTTTGTTATAATCTAAGTATATATATAAGTAACATTACATTTATAATATAACTTATAGTAAAATTAAGGCTCACCAATCCGTCGGCGCCTATCCTCCCTCTACCGGTGACCTTGAACATGATGTCCACCTCCCACCAGTCGAAGTTTATCGGATTTTTGGCCCAGATGGCGCCCTTCTGACTCCTGAGCGACGGCGCGAGCCGAACATTCTCGCTCGACGCAATCGCATCTGCGGAAATGAAAAAATCATATTCAGTACTTACTATAGTGGCAAACAAACAGACTACAGCTAAAATGGGGGTAACGACGGAATAAAGAAATGAGTTTCGATTTAGTCCTCAAGTGAGCACATCAAAAAAATGGCCATTTACTTTTTCTTTTGCCAATCAACCAAAATAGTCATGAGAATCTGTCATAAATTTACTTCACCCCTAATAAATGTTGAGCACTTTCAAACAATGATCAAGCCTGGGGGCCAATCGCCTAACTGGATTGCTTTGAAAAACGCTATCGCTTACGATTTCATTTTGTTATTTCTAGCCCCCTGAGGTTTTCAAATGCCTCGCGCTCTTTTTTTTTCTTTTGCATTGGTAATAACAATGTTAAAGAAAATGAGCGTGAGGTATTTCGGCGGTTAGAAATAACAAAATGAAATCGTAAGCGATAGCGTTTTCCAAAGCAATCTGGTTAGGCGATTGGCCCACAGATCAAGCCTCAAATTAAAGGCGAAATTAAAGATCCAAGTATAACTGCGCCTTAAACATAACTTCATGGCGCGATTACACCTAATCGCTAGGCCGAATACCAATGCCCATGGAATTCGCGTACACGATTATAGTGTAAACGAATGTAGTACCACGAACCAGTAAGTCTGTATTCGGAGATTTCCTTTTGTTTACCCGGCAACGTCTTCCAGCCCGTATTTCAGTGTAAATATTGCTTCGGGTGTCCGATTTCGAGTAATGTCTTACATGCATACGAAAACGTGCTAACGACCAAATGTAATTTCGGCATTAAGGCGCTTTGCAGACGGCGGGGCGGAGCGGGCCGGTCAATTTCGCCGCGAACGATAGCACAAAGTGAATCCTATACTACAAGCGCACACAGAGGGCAAAAAGACCGCGCCGCAGCTGCCCGGCGGGCACTGGCGGCGCGGCATGTCCGCGGCTGCCCGCCGTGGATCATACAAACCAGTTTATATGCACTAACGCAGACGGCGGCGCGGGGCGGCCAGCTCAGTCCGCCATATTTAGATAGCACACACCGACAATATCAATTGTATCATACAACTTTTGGGGTGCCATAAATAATATAATTTATTGTGAAACTACTAATATTTATCTGATTGATAACTGAAGACGCAATATTAAAATGTTTACAACTCAGCTTATGTTTTTGATAAGCACATACCGACTGAGTAGTTCATTGATCGTAAATAATATGTTATTGATAAAAGGTATCGGCTACTTTTAATTTGATGAAATGAGAATGTACTTTATATAGGGTTGAAATGATTTAAATCATTTTATAGTAATAAATATTTATTATGTATGGAGCTAGGGTTGCGAAGTCGTCAAATCTAATAGCCAGACAGACAAGCCAGTTTGGCCGGACAACCTATATTATTGAGGAATTTGTGGCTCAGTAATATTAGATAGGTATGACTTAAGGATGTTCTCAGGGTTTTGGGAAATTAATGTGACTCATTTCCTTGTCGTTTTATTTGCAAATAGAATTCTTTGCCCGCTAATGTGTGCTCCTACAATCTGGGGTCCTTTAAAAGAGGCCTGAGGGAGCATTTCTGAAGGCCGCCGGTGAGGATGGCAGTTTATACCTGCTGCACCAGCTATCTTCGCATCTGGATTTGCCACTGATAAAAACATCAGGTGGGATAGTTATTAGCCTACCTAACTATTAAAATACAATATGTATAATCTCCATGACCCATTAACTTCAATGTTTAAAGATAATAGTCGATTGTATCATAAGGGATCAAAACAATATTTTTACGATGGGGAGTCTATTTGAATCCAGAATGAAGTGAGGGATTCTTTAGATTCTTTAATCTTGAATGGCAACCATGCACTGGACGACGTGACGCTCAATCCCCACAAGGTAGACTAATGTAGATTATCGGTAAACCTCAAGGGAAAAAGGCTGGATGTGAGTGCTGCAGGTCCTATCAATGGGCGTTGTACGGTGGATATGACGATTATAAAGAAAAAATATTCTTTCATAATATTAAAACAATATAATAGTTTTTGTAATTTGGACGATACTATTTCATTAATTTTAATACTGCCTTGTCCTTTATATTTTGTACTTATTGCAGAAAATTGATAAAAGAACACACTTTCTTGTATTTTTCAAATTATAACAAAAACATTGAAAAGCTCGAAAAACCAGTCTACTCGAGTTTTGATTACTCTTAGACACGAAAACCCAGGTTTCGATGCCATTATAATATATCTCTTCAGCAATTAAAGCATGAAAGTTATAAGTGATAATAAATAACTGGTGTTTTAAGATCTTCGTTTACTAATATGAATCATGTTATATGCAATGCATTATGTACTTTTTCATAACAATAATTAGGCCAAACGCGATTCAATACAGTAGTAAAACTCATGGAACATGAAGAAAATTGAAAAAAAAAAAAATAACAAGTTTGATTTACAAAACAAAAGTGCTAAACTTCACTTAGACACTAACTTATTTACAGCTTAAATACAATGGAGTAAAGTCTGTAATGCAATGACATGTGAATTTACACAGTAATTAGTTCCACATCTTTGGCTGCTTTCTCAATTTGAACCTTAACTGGAACATTCTAAGCATCTTCTGCCATTGATGCAAATAAAACCATTATGCAAGGCATTCAGCCTCAATATGAAATTAAAACATTATTAATCTAATACATTTAGTATTAACAGTATGATAATAATACAGGTTACATTAAGAAAATTCAGATGAATATAATTATGAAGGTTTTGAATATTGTTATTTGAATATTTATTCAATAAAAATAGTAATTCAGCTCAAAAAAGAAGGGTATATTTAAAACTTCTCAATGGCTTTCATTTTTAAGTAAGAAAGGTACTTCACTTGCAATGTTAATGTAATCTTAAAACGATGATACTATTCTCGAAATCCGGTTAATTGTTGATTCTGCAAATTTAAAATTATCGCAAAGCAGTACCCAATGTTCTGCCGTCGTGGAAGCGAAAAACATGTATTTTTGACAGGTTGTTTGCATCCTTTTCACACTTATGATCTTAGCTAATCATTCATCTCCTTCTAACTTGACAATTTTCACTGACGTGTCGCCGTCAGTACGAAACAACCGTAACAACAAAAGCGTTTTACTCTATTTAATGCACATTTCTAACATAAAATGCCTATTACACAACATAAAAGAAACAGTTCGTTATCTAGCAATACTGAAAACCAGCAAACAATTTCTATTTAACTGCTTAAATAGCAAAAAATGTTATACTCACTGCCTCCGTACTCCCAGAATGGAACTGACCCATCTTTCTGTGCTAAATACGGCGGCTTGAAAGAATATTTATATTCGAATCGTCTGTGAACCGTCTGAGTATTGACAAGCACTATTATACTGAATAAAATTCCTAACACAAACATATTTAAATTTATTGAGGATATCGCGACTCGCGAACCACACACGTCAAGAAACGTGTTGACATACAGAGCTGCCAGCAAAAAAAATATTGGCCAGTAGCCAATGTCAATTTCTTCATTGCCCACTCGAATTCGAAAACTCCCCAAAATTATGCAATAATAAATAAATAAAAATAAGCCTAGCCCCAAAGTGAGCAACCAAAAAAAATTCTTTATTCAAGTTAGAAGCTTAATACAATTGTAATAAACCGTCAATATTTTTATCCCTATCACTAAATACGACCATTTTTATCCTCGCAGAAAAACTGGCGAAAGAACTTCACAGCGTCAAATGGGCTAGTTGATTCATGTCAAATTGCACTATACAAATGTTTTTTTCATATAATATTTGGTATGAGGAACCTAAATACATCGATTTCTGTTCATGAAATTAGAAGATGGCATGATTTTTTAGTCTATTCCTTTTAAAAACTCAAAACGTTGTCCACCATGATTGTGACGTCAACAAGTTAGTAAATGTGTTAGTAAATAACTAAACGACACTGTCGTGTTACTGTAGTGTCTTTCGTCGGACTAAAATACTTACATCTTGTAGAAAAAATCCGTTTATTGGTTTTGTTGACTAAATTTATGCTGAACGCCGGATTTGTGAAAGCAGAAACGACAAAACTCTTTGACTTAGTAGGTACATTCATAACCTTAAAAATTGTATTTTTAAACTTAAAATATTATTCAATGAGTACTCACATGAAAGTGATCTTTGCGAAAAGAAATGACTTTAAGACGGTAAAATTACAGGATTTAGCTAGTTTTAAACATGACTGTGTTCATGTGTAGGTATGTGTGTTTCTCTAGACAATTTAAACCACTACTTTTCTGGAGTTTTTAACTGTGTGTTTCTACATTCTCGTATAATACAATCATGATAATTATTATATTTATCATGAAATCTATTATAAATCATGGTTTTATAATATAAATTTAGATTCAGGTTATTTTCTACGTGCTTCTGAATGTTTGTTTACGTTTTAGTTGACGTCATAGCATAGATAATCTAAAAACTAAAATGCCCGACAGCCTTTTTGTATGTCCATGAAAAATCTATTTTAAAATTAAAGTTGTTGTTGCTTTCTAGTTCAAAAAAATACAATACATTTTTTTCAGTCTAATAGAACAATTATTAACCATTTAAAACATATTTCCAAAAAGTGTCAAGTAGCCTATTATGTAATAATAACACTAATTTAGAAAATATAATATTGTTACAGTTTTAATTACAAGATTACGTCATGCATATCAATATCACTATTATAGAAACAGCTTATTTGAAAGTTTGGAAAGTTTAAACATGGTTTAAACCCAAGAATTTTAGTCTGAAATATGATCAGACACCTAATAATAAACTTTATTAATAAGAAAATGTTTTGTTTATTAAGTTTATTGACGCTTAATTGTTATTTATTGTTAGGGACTTTGTTGTAGAAGCGAACACAAAGAAATTTAAATGAATTATTGATTAAGTGGACCCTAGTATTGCCAACAAGCTTTACAAAAATAAATAAGTTAGCCGTACCTTATTTATTGTTTAATGCTTGTGTTATTTAAAAATGTGTTGTTAAAATTTTTTTTACGTGTTTTATTATTTTATTTGGTTATTATTTGCCATTTCTTCCTTATGAGTAATTATTCATTTTAAACACGTCTACATAGAAGTTGTAAAACCACTTAAAATAAGCACTCCTAAAAAAACGGAAACTTAATGAATGCCTCCAGTCCAGATCAGCCCCGGCCGGGGGCGACGACCGGCGCCGGCGGCCGCCTATGTACCTACGACACGCACAGATGACTCGGCGCTTACCTACTATCCGCTTTGATTCCACAATATTTAAAAACATTACAATAAAATAAGGGGTGTAAGGGGTTCTTAATATACCTGCAAGAACCCAAGCCAACCTCACCTTCACGTGGTGCACCCTGTTGGCCAACAGACGAGGCTCTGGCAAACCGACCGATGGCGGTATTACCATCAAACGACGTAGGGGAGGAAAATCTCATTGGTGACGGGCAGCAGCGTCATCAGTGAAATAACCTACGTTCTGCGATCGCCAACCCGCCTGCCCAGCGTGGCGATTATGGGCAATACCTTGAATGCACACAAACGAAAAGCCACGGCCCCCAGTTCCCGGTAGCCCCGCTATTCCTGGTCATGGTGGCGACCATGGTAACGGCGGGGCGGGGGGTGCGAAGAATCTCCGGGCTACGGGAGGCCACCACAATAGACTGACCCTGGCAACGTACAACGGACGCACGCTACGGCTTGACTCGCATCTGGCGCAACTCGAGGTGGAACTTGGGAAGGTTAGGTGGCACATTTTAGGGTTAAGTGAAGTCCGAAGAGAGGGGGAGGACACCATAACGCTCGAATCGGGCCACCTAATGTACTTCCGCGGGGGAGACCAACAGTCCCAAGGTGGCGTTGGGTTTTTGGTGAATAAGTCCCTTGCCGATAACGTTGTGGAAATGTCCAGCGTGTCGAACAGGGTAGTGTACCTTATTATAAAGCTCACCGAGAGGTATAGCCTCAAGGTGGTGCAAGTGTACGCACCGACCTCGACACACTCGGACGACGAAGTGGAGGATATGTTCGATGATATATCGAGGGCCCTCCACTCCACTACTAAGACCCACTACAACGTTGTTATGGGGGACTTCAACGCTAAAGTGGGAGTACAGAATTGCAGCAAATCGGTAGTAGGATCCCATGGATTTGGAAGCAGAAATCATAGGGGGCAAATGCTCGTCAACTTCCTCGAACGGGAGGGGCTCTTCTTGATGAACTCTTTCTTTAAGAAACAGCCCCAAAGGAAGTGGACGTGGCAAAGCCCCGACACTATGACTAAAAATGAGATCGATTTCATCATGACGGACAAGAGGTACATATTCAGAGACGTCTCAGTGATCAACAGGTTCAATACCGGTAGTGATCACCGACTCGTCCGGGGCTCTTTGAATATCAACTTTAAGGCCGAGCGCGTCCGATTGATGAAATCCAGGCTCCAACCTACTCTGCTCCAATCTATAACAGGGTCTGAAACGTTCCAGTCAAATCTGGAGAACCGATTTACTGCCGTGGAAACCACAACAGACGTAAACCAAAACCTCGAAAATGTGGTTCGGATCCTCAGGGAAGAGGGTACGAGATTATGTGCAACGCAGCGTAAGGGCAGGAAGTCAAAGCTTTCGGAAGAGACTTTAGGGCTAATGAAGGAACGACATGAAAATCCACCCGTCACTTCGTCGGCAAAGCGGACTCTAAACCAAGAGATCAGTAAGCACGTACGACACGACCTCCGGTGCTCCAATACTCTCTCGATCGAGAGAGCGATCGAGCATAATCGAGGATCCAAAGTGTTCGTACAATCTCTTGGAAGAAGCCATCTGACGAAGTTGACCACAGCAAGTGGGGAAGTTGTTGCTTCAAAGCTGGCAGTCCTTTCGGAAGTGGAAGACTTCTACAGCCAGTTGTACGCATCACATGCATCTCGACCCGATCCCGGAAATGAGGATTCTAGAGCCACATTAACACGCCACTTCACCGAAGACCTGCCAGAAGTCAGTATTGGCGAAATCGAAATTGCTCTTGGACAGCTTAAAAATGGAAAAGCCCCTGGAGAGGATGGTGTTTCAACAGAACTCTTAAAGGCTGGAGGTAAACCCGTACTGAGGGAGCTCCAAAAGCTTTTCAACACTGTCCTGTTCGAAGGGAGAACTCCGGATGCGTGGAGTAGGAGTGTGGTTATCTTGTTCTTTAAAAAGGGGGACAAGACCCAACTTAAGAACTATCGACCCATATCCCTTCTAAGCCACGTCTATAAGCTGTTCTCAAGAGTGATCGCGAACCGTCTTGCGCGAAGACTTGATGACTTCCAACCACCGGAACAGGCTGGGTTTCGGAGCGGATACGGCACCATAGACCACATTCACACAGTGCGGCAGATTATACAGAAGACTGAAGAGTACAATCAGCCCCTGTGCCTAGCATTTGTGGACTATGAGAAGGCCTTTGACTCGATTGAAATCTGGTCTGTTCTGGAGTCCCTGCAGCGTTGCCAAGTCGACTGGCGATACATCCAAGTGATTAGATGTCTGTACGAAGCCGCCACCATGTCTGTCCAAGTACAGAATCAGCAAACAAGTCTCATACCATTGCATCGTGGAGTGAGACAAGGGGACGTTATTTCCCCGAAATTGTTCACTAATGCAATGGAGGATATGTTCAAGACGCTGAACTGGAAAGGACGTGGCATCAACATAAATGGCGAACGCATCTCTCACTTGCGATTTGCAGACGACATCGTCATCATGGCAGAAACCCTGCAGGACCTACAACAGATGCTGAATGACCTGGCTGACTCTTCTATACGCATCGGCCTACGGATGAACTTGGATAAAACCAAGGTCATGTTCAATGAACATGTTCTACCGGAACCGATTGCAATACACGGTGCCGTTCTCGAAGTTGTTCAAAAATATGTGTACCTCGGGCAGACATTGCAGTTAGGTAGAAACAACTTTGAGGACGAGGTGAATAGAAGAATTCAGCTAGGTTGGGCAGCGTTTGGGAAGTTACGTCAAGTCCTGACATCGTCGATCCCACAGTGTCTAAAGACGAAAGTCTTCAATCAGTGCGTCCTACCTGTGATGACATACGGAGCCGAGACGTGGACACTGACGGTACGACTGGTCCACAGGTTCAAAGTCGCTCAACGCGCTATGGAAAGGGCTATGCTCGGCGTTTCTCTGAAGGATCGCATCAGAAATGAGGTAATCCGGCAGAGAACCAGAGTTATCGACATAGCCCACCGGATTAGCAAGTTGAAGTGGCAGTGGGCTGGCCATATTTGTCGAAGAACCGATAACCGTTGGGGTAGACGAGTTCTGGAGTGGAGACCGCGTCTAGGCAAACGTAGTGTAGGACGTCCTCAGGCGCGATGGAGTGACGATTTGCGCAAGGTGGCTGGCAGGAGCTGGATGCGAGTAGCCCAAGATCGATCTAAGTGGCGTGCATTTGGAGAGGCCTATGTCCAGCAGTGGACTAAGATAGGCTGTTGATGATGATGACAATAAAATAGTCTTATATGCTATATTATAATTATTTATTCACTGATACACAATACCTTTGAATATTATTTCATAAAGCACAGATAATTAATCAATAAAATAAATCTTCTGTTAGAGCAATTAAAAATCCTTTAAAGTTAATATGACTGTCACGATTTTAAATAGGTAAAGACTGTCTGTTAGTGTAAGAACTTCTTTTTTATTGTTGATGTTAGTTGCCTCGTTTAATTAAAACTTGAGCAAACGGCGAAAAATTATACAGAGCAAATCGATTTAACTTACGAGCTTAGTGAAGGAAATAACTCTTCGTGACTGATTTGCCCACGTCATGAAATTCCGAACACATTTAATCACAGTCACACACACACACACACATAATATGTTGTTTTGCGGCAAGCACGGTCGGGCAACGCGCCGCCCGCGCGCCCGCTGGCAAGACAAGTGCAGCGCTGGCGCCGGTCGCGGCGTCTTTGATGATGTGAATCCGTTTTCGTTTATAGTGCGCGTTTTCCTTTCAGAGAAGAAAGAAACAGCACGATTCGCCAAAGTTTCGCTAAAGGTGCGAATACACTAAATCAGCAATAGCGATGTATTGAACAATCTGACGCTAGTTCTCCAACATTTTTATCAACAAATGAATGAATTGTTGTGGATACAACAACTTTATAATTTTGAAATGTTAAATGTTTATCATGTTGTTCGATTAAGGCACTTCGCGCACTAGACGACCGCGGCCACGATCAGTTGTGGACGTGGCCGCAACCTTGGTCGCAGAGGCGGTTGGGCTGCGGCTGCGGTCTGCGGCCACGACCACGACTGGTCGTGACGCTACCATATTGCTGGTCGTTTATTTCAATAATTAATAACTCTGTATCAAAACTTATTGTAGAAAAAAACGTCGTCATATTCAGTCGAAGAACGGTATGAAACATGTTCATTCACGAACTGTTCGCATGACCTTGACACTGAGATTGACCGCATTCGCTGTCGCAGATCTAGTGCGGGCCAGTACGACTGGTCGTTGCGACTATCTTCCGTATAGCTGGCTATGAGCGCTCGCACTCTAGATCTGCGATCGCAAATGCGGCCTGGTCGCTTCAGCCATTCTCAGTGTCATGCTGATAGTTCGTGAAAGAGCACGCTTCGTATCGTTCCGCAACTCTATAGGACGAAGATATTTTTCTGCAATGAGCTTTGAAAGAGTTATTTATTAATGAAATAAAGAAACGACCAGTAATATGGTCGCTTTACGACCAGTCGTGGTCGTTGCCACAAACTTGTCCGCAGCCCAACCGTAGCTTCTGCGATCAAGGTTGTGGTGACGGCCACGACCACGGCTGGTCATGGTCGTGGCCTAGTGCACGACGTGCCTTAGTTAATCTGGTCCTCGCGGCTCCTGGTCGTGATCATAATCGTCTAGTGCGCGAGGTGCCTTACTGAGGCAGTTACAAATATCAACGGCAGTTTTTTTGTAAATGTTTGACTATAGAAATACAAGGCTTTACTTTAGTCTTAGTCTTAGTAAGTAGTACAGCGCGGGCTATTTCGGCATGATTATGTGAAAGCACCTTAAAAAGTCCTGCCTTTTATGTACGCCGACGCTCGCCCGCCCACCTCCCCTCTTCCCCGCGCGCGGTGCTTTGCTTTGATTGCAATGCCAATGCATGCAAAGGGCAGTCGCAAGTATATCAATCGCGCGTGCGCATATTTTGACTTAGTGACAAACACTGTGATAATTTCATTATGCCTCGGTATACGAACCAAGAATATTTAGAAATGGTGTACTGCTATCGCGAGTGTGACGAAGTGCTCAGTAAAGTAAAGTAAAAGGAACTAAAAAGACGCATAGAAGTTGCATTTTGTGCAGTGAGAAGTGACAGGGACACTTTAAAATAGGTAGAAAGACACGTCCGCAAACGTGCCTACCTTTGTTT